CAACATTTATCAAGAGCCCATTACGGGCCACTCATTGCACTATGTGTTTTTATAACATTCCAAACATACAGGAAAGTTTAGAGAGTAATACAACATATGCCATGTATTTCCATCCGTTACTTCCTTTAATCCTCACAACCACTCTATGCGGTGGAAATGAAAATAAAATGGTTACATACCTTGCAAAACAGTGAACATTGGGGCTAGCAGTACTCAAACCCTAGTCTGCTTGACCTCAAAGCCTGTACTATTCCATATACAATTAATTTGGGAGATCATGTTGTGCTTTCTTCTTCTTTTTTTTTTAAGATATATTTTATTGATTTTTTACAGAGAGGAAGAGAGAGAGGTAGAGAGTTAGAAACATCAATCAGCTGCCTCCTGCACATCCCCCACTGGGGAAGTGCCCACAACCCAGGTACATGCCCTTGACCGGAATCGAACCCGGGACCTTTCAGTCGGCAGGCGGACGCTCTATCCACTGAGCCAAACCGGTTTCGGCGATGTTGTGCTTTCTTAACCTCCAGTATGTCAAATCAAATCCCTCATCCTCACTTACTGTGAGAGTGTCTTGAAGATGGAATATGGATAGTGTCTTTCTTTATTCCTTTGACTAGTACGTTTTTTTTCTGAAAGCCTCATTATTTTGAGTTCTCTCATATGTTGTGACAGCAGGTTTCTTTGTCAACCATCCTGTTCAGAATAAATAGCCTGTGCTGTGCCAGCATGATTTATTGCTGCTACTTCCTTTCTTTATGTTTTGAGTAATTTTATCATAAGAGGATATAAAGTGTTTTAGACATGTGCAAATGCCTGCGTGACGAAAGCAGTTCACCTGGCTGCTTGGCCAGCTCCCTGTGGACAGTGCTCCATTTTGGTAGCAGAGAAGAGAAGATAGAACAAATTAGGTTTCTCAAACAAGATCCATACACCCAATGTCATCAGCATTTCTCCTCTAATGACACCCATAGAGAACTGCCAAAAGATCGTAGGATCAAAGAACATAGACATAAGGGTTATTTCTATTCTTTGAGCAACTCTGAGTTATTGTGACGAGGGCAGAAAGAACTTGTATAGCTGAATAGGGTGTTGCTTATTGTAAATCCCTTTTTTGGGACTTTGAAAATGGATTTTATATCTATATGTGAAAGATTCTTTAATCTTTAAACTGCCTGTAAGCATGGAGTGCACTGGGTGGTTCCTTCTTTTTTTTTTTTATAATATATTTTATTGATTTCTTACAGAGAGGAAGGGAGAGAGACAGAGAGTTAGAAACATCGATGAGAGAGTAACATCAATCAGCTGCCTCCTGCACACCCCCTGGGGATGTGCCTGCAACCCAGGTACATGCCCTTGACCGGAATCGAACCTGGGACCCTTCAGTCTGTAGGCCGACGCTCTATCCACTGAGCCAAACCGGTTTCGGCGGTTTCTTCTTTTTTAAATCAGATGGTATCTTAAAAATATTTTACATACTTAATTATGAGAAACTGCAATTACATTACAGAAAATTTGGAAAATACAGGAAGAATAAAATCACCCACAATCTTGCCACTCTGATAGATATACTAATAATATTTTGATGCATTTTTTAATCTTTTGCATTACAAATAACAACTTAGAGCTAATCTCCAGATATCGTAACATCTCTTCTGGTTGAAGACTATATGATTTATAGTGATGATGCCAAGGAATTTCAAAATGTGCATGCTTATGTCCTTGAATATATTTATTTAATCAGATATAGATGCCTTTCTAAGGTGGATTGATTTTGTTGCCTTGTCCATTGAACTGTTAATTTTTGGAAGCTACTATGGAAAACTAGTTTCATGATTTACTTGGTTTTCTCAGTTGTAAAAAGTAGTGACCCTCTCCTTTGTGAGCAATTTTTATATTTTTACGAAATATATTATCTCTGTAGGTCTTTAGAAATTAATAGTAGTTCAAAAAATGCCTGATGCTATGGCAATTCATATTTTTTTTGATTTCTTATATCCAGACATTAAGTATGTCATTTGTTTTATTTTTTTAAATAAACAGTTTTTACAAAGTAGATAATAATAAATTATTAAAATATTTGATCACCCTTACACTATATACAACATAGGACAAAAGTAGGCTTATAGTTGTAGGTGAAACACAGAGTTTATTCTTATATTATTATTTATTAATTACTGTATTATTTTCTTATTTATTTATTTATAAATTGAATTTCTTGGGGTGACATTGGTTCATCCAATTGTATAGGCTTCAGGTGTACAGTTATATAATCCTTCATTTGTGGATGGGTGTTTTCCTTCGCCCACATTGAAGGTTAGAGGGGCATGTGATTGGGTAGTCACCCTACTTGGCTTGTTTGATTTTGGTCAAACCCAGTTGGGTAGGCTCTGGTAAAATAGTCTCCCTTGACGACTCTGGGATTGTTAGGAGAGTAGAGAGCCCTGGAAGTATTTCAAAGAGGTCACTTCCCCTTCCACCTGCTGGATGCGGGAGGAGATTTTTATGTGCTCTTTTCTGTGAGCAACTGGTAGGGCTCTTGGAGGTAAAATTTATGGAAGTGCCCAAGACTGAGTTACCTTGGAGTTATAAAAGTTCCATCTCGTTTACAAGTCTATGGCCATCAGGCAATTACAGTTAAAAGTGTTCCTGCAGATACTGGCTTCAGGCGTGGCCTTCTGTTCCTTGGCCTGTATTCTTGGTCAGTTGTGATTCCCTGCTTGTCTGTTTCTCTAGTTTTCAGGGCAGCACTTTGCCCTGTGAACCTACATTCTTATGGCTTTAAGAATTACTGATTTTCAGTTTGTTCAGCTTTTTTTTTTTTTTCTTGTAAGGATAGGAGTAAAGATTTCCAAAGTTTTCATATATCAGACTGGAAACTGGACATCTCATACTGTTTTTGAAATGCAGAAATGTATAGAAGTTCATTGCTAATAATGTTAGTGTATTGTCAAAGAAATATATAATTACTTTTTCATATTACCAGTTCTTAAGTTATTATCTCAATATGAATTTTAACTATGGTCAGATACTTTGAGGTTTGATTTTATCTAAAATGTTGGTAAAACGGAGAATAATTTTATACTTGTGATTGTATTTAAAGACAGGATAAATGTTTATAGTTCCATATTATGATACATATTTGGGAAGCTGATACACATGTTCACATATCTTATAAATAGATATTTTATAAATCCCAGAAATAATTCCTGAATTAAAATTTTTACATCTATTAATTTTTTTCAAGTAAAGATTTGGAATGGGAAACTGATTTGTAGATTAATATCTATTTATGATAAAAACTTTTGTCATTAATTAAGAACAACATGATTCCTTTCAGAGTACCACTCAGGATTTTTTTAAAAATACATATTTCTAATTTATACATTTATTTCAATATTTGTTTTTAACATACATATTATTTGGTGAAGGGTAATCTTGAATTGTTCTCTAGTTTGATGAGCTGGTATGATAATCTTTCTTTGTCATTTGTTTTAAAATGTTAAGAAATTTTTTGTTTTATTCTCAAAGAAATACGATGATAACTTTTCTAGATAGAATCCAATGTCACTAGTTTCCTTGTTTGCTAAATATGATATTTAGTGTTAAATATAACCTTTTATACTAATTAATTATATAATTATGTACATACTAAATGATACGGCTTTAGCTTTAGGCTAAACCTGTTACACTTTTTTTAAAAAAAATATATTTTATTGATTTTTTACAGAGAGGAAGGGAGAGAGATAGAGAGTTAGAAACATCGATGAGAGAGAAACATCGATCAGCTGCCTCCCGCACATCTCCTACTGGGGATATGCCCACAACCCAGGTACATGCCCTTGACCGGAATCGAACCTGGGACCCCTCAGTCCGCAGGCCGACGCTCTATCCACTGAGCCAAACCGGTTTCAGCAACCTGTTACACTTTTTGAAGTATATGCAGATTACAGGGGATTTTTTTTGTCAATATAGAGATATATAATTTACCAGTTATATTTATTTATTTATTGGGATACTAAGGTGTATAAGGGTATACCTTTTCATTATTGCTTATAGCATTAAAAATAAGAACACACTGGAAAAGAAAATCAATATGATTTAAAGAGAATTTAATTAAGAGTATTAATATAACTTCCTAAAGAAAGTCCTAGCTATTGGTGTCCAGTATTAGTTACCAATTCTTAGTCTTTCTTTGGGAAAGTGAAAGATAATCAACTCACAATTGAGTCCTAGGTTTGCCTCTCAGGACCAGTCCTAAGCAGAGTGTGGGAAGCCACATTTCAGAGGCATCACTGCACTTGTGTCTGATCTTTCTCTACCCTTTAAACATCCAGTGCTATTTCAGTGAAGCACTGAGTTGATTATGGTTGAAATGCATTTTTAGTTTGTTATAGTTATATGAATAATTTACTTTAGCTTATGAATATTTTAAATTTAATATATGTACTTATTTTAGTAGCTATGTTTAGGTAGATTGGATACATTCCCCTCTCCTCCAGTTCCTTTAACTGACCCTTTAAGCAGTAAATACAGTCATTTGTAAGGCTTTAAAAATACATTTATAGAACCTTACGTTTTATTTAAAATTTTATGCCTTCAATTTACATTAATGAAGAAATTTTAAAAATAAAGAGGAAATCCATTTACCTTCAGTAAAGCAAATGTAACTGTGTTTAATGTGGTGCCTTAAAATAATTATTTTAAAAGCATCAATATCAATAAAATATGCAGAAAACATGAGGACTAAATCATGAAATCATTTAGAACAGCAGTGGAGTTTTAATATTAGTCCTCTATGAAGAACAAACGCTTCAACTTCTGTGTTATTTTTTTTTTTTGGTGCCAAATTAATTCAAATGGGTGATTCCAGTGTTTGGCAAAGCACTAAGCTTTTCCATGTAACAAACCTCAGTTTTCATTTTTTTTATACGACCACAAACCTGTAGATAGAAATGTCTGCCTAGTACAGTGCACTCAGTTGCGCAAACTTATCTTTTTAGGGCCAAAGAAGAGCACAAGCCCCAGCCGACACAGTAAGTAAATGTACTAAGAGTGCAGTGGGCTTGACTTCTGTACCTTTGCCATATCTGCTTCCGGCACCCTGGATGGTATTAGCTTACACTAATACTGGAGAGGCTGCAGCTGGCGTGTCTTCTGCTTCCCGACTCTCTGGCTGGTAAGACAGCTGCCTGCAGTTTCTTACTTCATCCACACACTGACTGGATGTAGTAGTTTTTCGCTGCCTGCTTGTGGTCTGGTTCAGTGTTCAAACTTTAATTTCCCTACCTTCCGACTGCCTGGGTGCTAGCTGGAGCTCCCGTGTCCATTGGCTGTAGCTTCTGTGCCTGTGTATTTTTTATTCTGATGGGTAAGAAAGCATTTGACCTACCTTGTTATTCCTTTGGTTATTCAGTCACACTATTTGCTTATTTAAACAGGTGGTTTCCCTTTAGTGGGATCACTGAACTGGTAAATAACGTGCTTCAGCCCCAGCAAAAACAACAAAATGAAAAGGAGCCCCAGACGTAAGTAAGCTGATCTGCATAGACTAAATATTATCTCTGATAGTGTCACATACTAAAGAGTCTATATTAAAATACTGCCCTTGGAATATTATCCCATAGAAATGAAAATTGTTAGGTTATGAGTTTGGTACTTTGTCCTTTCATTATCCCATAGAAATCTAAAAAGAATACAAGGCTAACTTATAGGGAAGTAAAAACAAGGAGGTAACTCACCCCCCAGCTTTAGTATAAATAATGTGAAATGTATTTATCCAACAAATATCTTTTTCTAATCATGCAATATATTTCAAAGTATGTTTTTCCCCCCAAGAGGACATTAAGAGTTATTAATTCCCAAAGGCAATCTGTGGTCAAATAGTTTCGGAAAGATTCTTTTAAAAAAGATTAAGCAGTTTTCTTTATTGTGTAACGTCTTCGTTTTTAAATGTGCTCCAAAGGCGTTAGAACATACGGTGTTTACTAACTTACTTGACTGCCGAGTCCTCTTTTCATTGAACATTTCAAATTACGTTGTACCATAATTTGGGAAAGCAACAGTTTATTCTCACATTGACCTGAAACATTAAAAAAGGTCCATTCCATTCATTTTATTTATTCTTTGAGAAGTTGTTCACATGTCTTTTTAACTTTGTACAAATCATTATTTCTGTTGTGAATGTGAGAAAGACTGCACATATTTAAATTCCAGTCTCCCCATGAAAACATCCATTTTACTCAGAAATGCTCTTACCACTCAGCCTCTGCACTTTTTAAAGTAGGAGTTATGTGTACCGAGAAGATGGTTTGGTTGTAGGAATGGGCAGATTGAAAAGGACATGAACTTGAGAAGAGAATGAGCATGCCTCCAGGAGCCCTAAGATGAAATAGAAAAACATTCACTTTTTGCATATAAATGCAAACTAGAAGATATGCGTTTTTTTGTCTAGTTATCTCCTCATCCATTTTATGTTACCTTGTATGCATTTTATTTAAAATTATGTTACTTTTTCAGTTTCAATTGAAGTAAAACTATGTTGTGAATTAAAAATATGTTGTAAAACTAACAGTTGGTATGTAGTTCTAAAATCAGAACTGTTGCTGTATATAAGCTAGTTGAAGTCCAGACCGGGTATCTAATAGGAACTCAAAATAAATATTTCCTTACAACTGATTTACATGTTTTATCTTTTTATGATATAATAATAACGGAGACTTATTTGTAAAATATAGAATGCTTCTCTTTCAAGTGGCAACTCAGAGACCTAAGCTGCTTCCCATCTTGTTCGTAAGCCAGCTGAAACACATAACCCCCAGGGTTGCTGCATCAGAGGAAGAGAGAGAATGGAGTACTCACACTTATTAGTTGTATAAAGCAGGAAGTGACATAAGCCACTTTTGGTCACAGATCATTGCCCAGAACTTGTCATGAGGCTCTTAAATAACTGCAAGGACATCTAAAAAGTCTTTCCATGTGCTCATGAAGAGTGGCGACTGCATGTAACGAGCACTGGTAACATCTATTACAGTTATTTTACACTTGGTTCTCATTTATTGCAATGAGATGGAAATTTCAGGATGCCAAAAGATGAAGATTTGCCAAAAGAATGCTGCTAGAGCAAGGGTAACTCCAATATCAGCCCTGACTCCTGGTACTGACGTTTCTACTGAAACTGTTGTAATGACTTGGCATCAAAGTCTAATTTTATAAGACGGAAGATTAGGTTTAATAATATGAAGAACATTTGAATACATAAGTGTCTTTCAGAAGGAAGGAAATTTGTTGGATTTTTTTCAGGGATCACGTGTTAAATTTTGTCGGGGATTACAGGGAGGCTTACATTCTCTTAGGTAACAGTGAAAGACTAATAGATTAAAAATGTGATAGCAATGAAAATGTATTTAGGGCATACTGAGAAACCATTAGTGATCATTAGATGTGTCAGAGGCCAGGAAAAAAAGAGGAACCGTAAACAATAATTTTTAAAAGGAGAAGCAGAGCTATCAGAAAGCATTCTTCTGTTCTTAGGTGGAAGCTGTCTCCTTTGGGTTGTCATCTGCTTGACACAAGGGTCATTGGTTAGCTGTTTCTCTCCAAAGAGCATTAGCTTTCGCGGATTCTGAGGACACTCCTATTTACACTCTCCTGATGAAGCGGATTTCCAACAGTCTAGGCAAAATTGTTTGTGTCTTTTTAGTGGTGAAACATGAATTTGAGGGTCAACATTTGGAGGCTTTCACTGACGTGCTAATTGTTATCATGGCGTTGCTGTCTTTTTCATTAAGACTCTGGGCAGTTTTTTTCTCCCATCTTTTCCAGAAGACTAAATATTTAGGTTTTTGGTCATAGCTTTGGAAAGACTGCTTGTACCGGTTGGTGATAAGATTGGGTGTTACATGGATTTCTTTCTGTACTTAATCATGTTAACTTGTAATAGAGTTGAGTCTAGGATCAGAGGTAAAAATTTTAAATGCATGGGAAGCCTATTATCACATTGTTTGCGGGTAGTTTTTATCGTGCGCTAACAGGTGGCGCAGGCCATTTTTGCTAATTTTTTGCGCAAATGGCAACGTTCAGTAAAATTATGATAACTTTAGTTTATGTATTTATACGTTACCCGCATTCTACCGCTAGTCTATAAAAAACGTATTAATATGTGTCCCGCGCTCTACTACACTGGTAGAACGTATAAATACATAAAACGTGTAAACACGTTTCCCGCATACAATGTGTTATTAATTCACTAGAGGCCTGGTGCATGACATTCGTGCATGGGGCGGGGGGAGGGGGGTCTCTCAGCCTGGCCTGCACCCTTTAGCAGTCTGGGAGCCCTCAGGGGATGTCTGACTGTGGCTTAGGCCCACTCCTAAGTTGCAGTCAGACATCCTTAGTGCTGTCATGGAGGCAGGAGAGGCTCCTGCCACTGCTGCTGCACTCGCCAGCATCAGCCCAGCCCCCCAGCTTGTGGCTGAGCGGCGGGGGAGGGGGACACTGACCACCTCGGGGGCAGCTCCTGTGCTGAGCGTCTGCCCCCTGATGGTCAGTGTGCGTCATAGCAACTGATCATTCTGCATATTACCCTTTTATTATATAGGATAAGGGAGAGTTGATGGATCTCCAAAGGGTTGATTTTGTTGTTTTGAAGGCTAATGGCATGGAAACTGAAGGGTCTTTGAGACTGTTGTTAATTTAATTTTACTTAAAAAGTTCTACTTTTTCTTTTTCTGAAGATTGAGAATGATATGGACAAAAATGTTTTATTATAAGCTATGTGTTTCTTGTTGGTGCTTGCTGATCCAGTCAGTTGATAATGCAGTTATGAAACAAGTTATAAAACCGAAGTACTATATATTCTGGAATATACATAGCTCTTTATTTTTCTGAAATCATCCCTCTAATGAAATGACATTGCTTTCTTTTTAGTGTTTATAAAATCTATCTTATTATGAGAAACCCTCAATTTCTTTAGTTTGATTTACAAAGTACTGCTTGGAGAAGAAAAAAGACCTCAAACAATCATACCTACACCTATAGAGATTACACTTGTCCGCCTTATCCAAGTTTTTGCTTTCTGGTCTGAAAATATTAAGTGGAAAATTCTAGAAATAAACAAGTCATAAATTTTAAATTGTGTACCATTTTGAGTAGTGTGATGAAATCTCATGCTCTTCACTCTGTCCTGCCCAGGATGCGAATCATCTCTTTGCCCAGTGTATCCACGCTGTGTATGTTACCCACCCATTGAATCACTGTAGTAACCATCGCAGTTATCAGAAGAACAGTGCCGGTGTTCAAGTAACCCTTATTTACTTAACAAAGTTCAAGAGTACTGATGCTGGCCCAGCAAGTGTGGCTCAGTGGTTGAGCATAGACCCATGAACCAAGAGGAACCTGGTTCGATTTCTGGTCAGGGCACATACATAGGTTGCTGGCTGGATCCCCAATAGGGGATGTGCAGGAGGCAGGTGATCCATGATGTTTTTCTCTCATCGATGTTTCTGTCTATCCCTCTCCCTTTCTCTCTAAAAATCAATTAAAAAAAGCATATTAAAAAAAAAGTGTATGTTGGGAATTTGGATAGCTAAAGAGAAGCCAAAAAATGCTTCTTTAAAATGTGGAAGTTCTAGATTAAAAAAAAAAAAATCATATGCTGAGGCTGCTAAGATCTACAGTAAGAACAAATCTGTTAAATTGTGAAGAAGGAAAAAGAAATTTGTGTTAGTTTTGCTGTTGCACTTCAAACTGAAAAAGTTATGGCTACAATATGTGATATTTACTAGTTAAGATGGAAAACTCATCAAATTTGTGGGTGGAAGACACGAACAGAAAATATGTTCCCATGCCCAGCTGGCATGGCTCAGTGGTTGAGCGTCAACCGATGAACCAGGAGGTCATGGTCCAACTCCAGTTAGGGGACATGCCTGGGTGGCAGGCTCGATTCCCAGTAAAGCGGGGGGGAGGAGGGGAAGTGGCGTGCAGGAGGTAGCCGATCAATGATTCTCTTTCATCACTGATGTTTCTAACTTTCTCTACCTCTCCCTCTCCCTTCCTCTCTGAAATCAATAAAAACATATTAAAAAGAAAATATGTTCCTGTGTTGTGTCAGAAAGCATTGAGCCTATGGGAAGATTTTAGTGAGGGGTCCCCCGAATGAGTGACACCAAGCCATTTACTGTAAGTAAGGGGTGGGTACACAGATTCAGGAATAGGTTTTGACTAAAAAAATATAACAATTATTGGAGAAGAGAGAGAGAGAGGGAGAGAGAGAGAGAGGCCATTCACATAACTTTTATTATGGTGTGTTATGATGGTTTTATTATTAGCTATTGTTTTTAACCTCTCACTGTGTCTGGTTTATAAATTAAACTTTATCATAGATATGTATCGGCAAAAACTTGGTATATGTAGGGTTTGGTATTACCTGTGGTTTTAGACCTCCACTGGGAATGTATATCCTGTACTGTACCTGATGGAATTTGTGAAAAGGGAGATAAAGAAATTTAGCATCAGTTTAGAAATTCTC